ACTGACAAGCTTAGGTCGTCTTAACTTCCTCACGTAGTACGTCAAACGAAAGGTCTTTCTAAAAACTAACATGATGTGGAAAAACTGGGAAGGATCCGAGGAAATACACAGTTCAAGGTACTTAACATTCGATTTAGTTTCAAATTTAGTGCCATCTATGATAATGCAACCGTGAAAACTAACCAGCTCACACGAGTAGCGCTTGCACCTGGAACTGAAATTAATCACCTGACTTCTGAAGGGATTAAGTTTAAGACAATCTGACGATGACCATTGACTAATTTCTGATAAAAACTGATTCATTTTGGAACAAATTGACTGATAAGTAACCACTGGCATACAGAATAGTCAGATGCATCATCGGCATACTTAAAAAAATCGGTTTCGTCAGAATGGGGTAAGTCATATAAGAAGAAGGGAAACAGAAAAGAAGAAAGAACAGCCTCCTCTGAGGAACTCCAGCTACACCCAATAATGTCAGTGTGCAAGTCTCCAATGCATTCGATTTTGTGTGACATCAAACATAAATCATCCGCGAAATCCAGATCTTCTAGGTTCTTCACGTCGGTCTAGGATATCCCCGTCTTGATTAATTGATTCATTTCCTTAATTCCAGAAAAGACAAAACGAAAGCTCCAAAGAATAAGCTTTTTGCAGATAAAATAAGAGTGTGCAGTTCAGCAGCCGAAACAAACTTAAACGTACAAACTTGATAAATAGAGAAAAGATATTCTATGACAATAATCGGATTCAAGAAGATATTTCCAAAATGAAATGTAAAATGTATAAGTGTATCAAACTACATGTACCTCCGGCTGCATTTTTTGATTTTTGATTTGAAAATGTGTTTATACGCATTCTGATTGATGACAATACTTTCGGTCATGTGGCTGTGTGGCCAACTCATTGGAAGGCGTCCTCTGAATTTCATCCTGTGTATTCCTGTTGTCTAATGCTTAAATAGAAGTCAGTCACCACTCGTGAATACACTGGTTGTGGATTTGAACAGTTGGTGCAAAGAAGCAGTGACAATGGATGACGCTGTGTCACTTAAACCATG